CTAAGATAGTCCTGTTGAAAAACAAACTTTACAACTTTGTTGGGGGGGGCAGGCGGCAGGAAGCGGGGGAGTTGGGCGGGAGGGGGTGGGAATGGGTGGGAAGGGGAAACAAAGGAGGAGGCAACAATGCTTGATAAGAAATGTACTCATTGCCATGCTCGTGTAATTGTAACCCCTCTATATGGTATTTTTACAATAAAAATATGTACCAAAAAATAAAAAATATAAAAAATTTTCCCCTTAAAGATTATTTTATTAGAAAATAATTTTAAATATGTCCAAGTTTCTGTTATATGAAAACTCTCTTTGAACCAGAAAAAAAATTCAACTGAGTGCCAGTGGCTCACACCTGTAATCCTAGCTACTCAGGAGGCTGAAACCTGGAGCTCTTGGTTTGGGGTTAGCCTGAGAAGACAGGTCCATCAAAGTTCATTTCCAAAATAACCAGCAGAAAGTTAAGGAAGAGGTGTGGCTCAAACGGTACACCACTGGCTCAAATGGTACACCACTGAGCAAGCAATCTGAGCAAGTAAAAAGCCCTAAGTTCAAACTCCAGTATTAGTGAAAAAGATCAATGAGAATGCATCAAATATGATTTTAAAGCTTAGGTACAGGAAAAACTAACTAGTGACATAAATCACAAGAGTAATTCTCTGAGTAGCATTGATGGGGAATGAATCATGATAGAGCCTATAATGGAATGGTTCTGTACCTTTACTTGGGTAGTAGTTACACAAGACTATACAAGTGTGCATGAAAGATTTTTGCTTCATATTTGCACATTTTACTGTGTATATGCAGTGAAAAACAATCTCAGAGCACTTCTCCATTACCTTATCTAATGCCCAAATTATATCATAATAGTTTTGCACGGCAGGCAGAAGTGTCTCCATTCTTACAGCTGAAGACATTGAGTGAACTACTTAAAATTTAATGAAGAATTTTGATTCAGGTCAGAGCTAGAATTTTGTCACAAACCACAGACATTTGTCTGCTGGATTTGGGTTTCATTCATTCTCCATCCATTTCCCTTGTCTGTGGTTTACTGCTGAAGCTATTGGTCAAGGTGGACACAGAATACAGCCGGCAAACAGTGGATAGGGTTTTGCACAAGCAGGACCCCAGCATATTTTATACTCCAGGGAAGGAGAGAAAAGGCACCTGACACTCCTCCTTCCTCTCTTCTCACTAAGGTAATATAAAGACAACACAACCTTATGGGTGAAAAATGTTTCTTGAGCAGTCACAACGTTAAGTTTTGGAAATGTAAGGAATTGTTTTCTGGAAAATTGTTTGCTCTTCAGTACAGGTCCCAATAGCCTCCTTGCTAATCTGTAACTATGATTTTACATTTCCATTTCCATGGTACTTGTCCCAGAAAGGTTTGTAAACCTTTATCACCTGAGTTCATTCTATACAGGAATATCTTGATGGAGAACATCCAACAAACACTGAGAATAATGTTCCTTTTAGCCAAGATGGGTTAGGTTCTAAAGGCTTGTGGGTGATACTAGCATCAGTAAGTGCAGTGAAAGGTGCCAGATACAGTACAGTAGTCTCTACTCTTGATGTTGCTCCTTTGGCCAAGAGTTTGAGGTTCAGGTTCAGGTTCATCCTCTGTGAACCTTTAGAAGAGTATCTTGTTGTAGTTATAGGTTACCTCAAAATTACTGGCTTTCTCAAAATCAAATAGTTTTTTTTTCTGCTCTCAAAATGGACACTGTTAATTATAGGGAATGATGGTGGAAAGTATTACATTGTCTCTGGATAATGTCATCTATCAGTTATTAGACAGGTTTTCCTATATGCCTTATCTTCTTTAGAATAGACCCAGCATCCATATGGTTTTGTTCACTTTAATAAATGTAATTGTGTGTGTGTGTGTGTTTGCACGTGTGTGCATCATACTGGAGCTTGAACTTAGGGCTTCTTGTTTTTGTTTGACTTTTTCGCTAAAGGTTTGTGCTTTACCACTTGAGTCACACCTCCTATTAGCAAAATGAGCTCCCTTCCAATAGCTTAGTATACTCCTTCCCCTCTTCACAGTTTAGCATGTCCCTTCCTAGGCAACACTCGGCCCATTTAGTAAAGGCAGTAAATAATCAGCCTCCAACCCCCTTTACTTTGGGATGGGACTTTTCTGGGGCAGCTACCACCATATAAGTCAAACAAGAGCCCCTTAGATTGACCTTCAGGTCTGGGCAGCTGCAGGACCCCTTATCTACTATTTGGACAGCAGCCATAAATCTAGTTCGCTATGATGAAGCCTCTGGTCCTTACTTACACACAAGGTTCTCTGCCTCCTAGCTCCTTTTAGCCCCTCCTAAACCTCCTAGGTTATATATGTCACCTCAGACAATAGCCAGTGTTTCTTCTCACTTCTCCCTTGTGAGAAGGGGTCTTGCTGGCCCCTTTCCAAGATGTACCTGGATGTCTGAGCGTTTTTCTGGCAAAGTCCAAATTATCTAACAGTGGTGCATTCTAGTTAATTGGAAATGAGAAATTCCCGAACATTTTTGCCTAGTCTGGCTCCGCAATTTTCAGATCTCCTGAGTAGCTAGGATTATACGTGTGAGCCACTAGCCTCCAGCTTAAAGGTAGTTTTAAAACTTGTAATGAAGGACCCTTTATGTTTTACACAAATGGTTTGACAAAAGTGATGGCGATGGGAGAAATAAACCTCTAGTTATTCGTTAGTTTCTGATATGGGGATATGACAATAAGCCTACTTTGCCTAGGCAGTAGTCTCAAAAAAAAAGAAGAAAGGTTTGGGCCATCTGCTATTTATTAAGTAGATGGGGCAATCCAAACTCATGTCTCAGGCACTCAAAGGCCAGCAGCAGCTGCCACAAAGATTTCAAATGCCTGTTTCAAGAGCTTATCTTAAAGAGGAGGATTCTCTTTGGCTCCTGCCACTGTTTTTCTGTTATCTGGACAAGAAAAACATAAAGGAATGTTTTGTACGTGGGTGTGTTCATTTTGTTACCTTGTTGCAGAACTGATGGGTTTTGTTCTCAAAGACAAGGGTGAGTAGCAAGGCAAAGGGAACATGCCTACTGAGGGTTACGCCACAAAATACTCAAAAGCAGCAGAGAGAAGGGTTATATATATTTTGTTCAAAATAGATTTTATAGAAGTGGGAAAAACTAGCCCAGTTGGTGGTGAGAAAAGTTGCATTTAAGCAATAATGCTAGCCAGGATATTTTACCATGTCTCCTTTGGTTACCTTTTCTTTTTCTTTTTGTTTCTCTGCCAGTCAGTCCTGGGGCTTGAGCTCAGGGTCTGGGCACTGTCCCTGACTTTTTGCATTTAAAGCTAATGCACTACCACTTTGAGCCACATCACTATTTCTGGCATTTTGATAGGTATTTGGAGATAAGAGTCTCATGATTTTTTCTGCCTGGGCTGGCTTTGAACCATGACCCTCAGATCTCAACCTCTTGAATATCTAGGATTACAGGCTTGAGCCATCAGTACCCAGCTCCTTTAATTACTTTAGAAGATGGACAACCCCTTAAGGTGCAAACACATGCTCTCTTATGATTGGATGTATACCTTTAGGACTTTTTATACATTGAGAAAGCACCTGAAATTTTCTGCTGTTTGGTAACAAACAAATCTTCCCCCGTTTTTCTGATGGAGAAAGATAAGCCAGATGTATCAATTACTTAATTTACTTTCATTGAGAGTTCTCTGTAAAAGAATACCTCTATCTGCTTATTATACCTCTTTGAGGCCTTTGGGATGGTTTGATGAACCTTAGCTCATTTGAGCCTTTCAAAAATTAGCTGATAAAAGTGAAGAACATTCTGTCTCTTTTTTTCTAGCTCTATATACTGGGGCTAGAAAAGTTTTATCTGAGATTATAGGTCAAAAGAAAGCAAGTCAGCTATGATGATTAATCATACCAGTTTGTCCCAAACTCTCCCAGCTTTTGCACTAAAAATCACCTGTCCTGTCTCTTCACCCAGAAAAATTTGTGTCCTAGTAGATAGGACTAGAATCACACATCCCAAATAGCAGTCCACTGAAAGTCCAATCCATACTAGTCCTATATCATCTGTCTTCTAAAAACTGTTCTATGAATCATATTTTCTCTTCCCCTTCCTTAAATGCACCAGGATGCTTTCTACATGTTGAAACATCCTCCACTTCTGTTCTGCCTAGGACAGAAGCAATAGAAGTTAATGGTCCCCAGAGATATATTATTACATACTATTGGCAAAGGAGAAGCATATTTCAGCCTTTTCATTTACAAAATAAAGATTATGCAGAGGAGGTGCACACTGGTGGCTCATGCTTCTAATCTTAGCTACTCAGGAGACTGAGATCTGAAGATTGCATTTTTATGTTAGGCCAGATAGTAGTTTGTAAGACTCATCTCCAATTAACCACCAAAACACTGGAAGTGAAGCTGTAGCTCAGAGTAGAGTGCTAGCCTTGAGGAAGACAGGCAAACATAAACATGAAGCCATGAGTTCAAGTCCCATTACCAGTATACAAAGTAATAAAGGATTATATTAAGTAGTATAATTTCTGTACTACTTACTGCACAGAGATACTGTAAAATCCAGTAATAATAAATGTAAAAGTGATTTACAATGTGTTAAGTGCTGATCATAAGGATTGCAGATTTTCTGTACTGTGTAGAAGGAAGTCAATGGCTTGTCTTATTCTTTTTTTTTTATCATCTTAGCTCCTGGTAATAATCATTAACTAAAGATCTGGGCAAGTTCTATGGCTTCTATGCTTTGCTTCAGTTTCCTTATCTATAAAATAGACTTGATCATTGTTGTTGTCATTGCTTTGAGAACTGAATGAGTACATGAAAAACATTTGGAAACATAAAATGTAGTAAATACTCTAAAAGTATTAGCTATTTCGGGTTGCTTCCTTAGCCCCTCTTAGGACAGGGGTGACATTAAGAGGATATGGAAGCCACCACTTACTTTGTAGTCTCATTATATTAATTTCTTAGTTGTTGTGTTCTTTGCCCATAGCTTCCTAACCATGGATTGCCAAGAAAACGAATACTGGGACCAATGGGGATGCTGTGTCACCTGCCAACAGTGTGCTCCTGGACAGGAGCTCTCCAAGGTAAGTCCCAATCATTGCACTTAGTTGTTCACATCTTAAGAACCAGATCAGCAACTGGGAAGGAACAAGATTAGTAAGAGAACCCCCTCTAGCAGTGACTGATCCAGTTTGGAAGGTAAAACATGGGATCCAGAAAGGATAGTAATAATTGTTGCAGCAAAAGGTCAGCCTAGAAGGAACAAGTTAAAGGATTGGTTTCATGATCTATTCATAAGAGGTGTGGAATATAGAGGCCCAGGAGGAAAGGCGAAGAGCCAAGACAGTTAATGTGTCCTCATGTTCAGAGTGTCTAAGCTAAAGAAAATACTGTGCAAAAGAGGACTCAGGTATGAGGCACCAGCCTTGAGGCACTATAATCCCATTTGGATGTAGGGGTCAGAACAAAATGAACAGCAATGCAGAGTGACAGCAAGGTTAGACTGTTTAACTGTTCCTTCCTGGGGGCCTTTGTTGGTCCTTGAACCTGAGATCATACTAAATGTATGCTACAGAAACTGGAAGTAGACAACCCACAACAATTTCATTTAATCAGCAATTGCCTGTTGAGTGCTTCCAAAGTGGCAAGTATGGCTGTAGACATCACAGATATGGCAAAATAGGCAAAAGTCTATGCCTTCATGAGCCTTGCCTTCTAAATAGTAACACAAATAAAAAAGAATGAGCTGAGCACCAGTGGCTCATACCTGTAATCCTAGCTACTCAAGAGCCTGAGGTCTGAGGATCTCAGTTCAAAGGCAAACCCAGGTAGGAAAGTCTGTGAGACTCTTTCCATTTAATGACCAAAAAGCTGGATGTGGAACTCTGGTTTAAATGGTAGAGTGCTAACCTTAAGTAAAAGATCTCAGATCCCTTACTGCAAGCCCCAGGACAGGCAACAGAAGAAAGATCAAAGCAGAGATAATTGAGGAGTTGAGATGTGAAGATATGCCAAGAACAAGATAAGAATGGTTTGATACTGAGTGACTAGGTGGCTATTCCTAATCAGGAAATGAAAGAAGAGCATCCTAAAGAGATCCTCCCTGGGACAGGATATAGCTGGTACAGTCCCAAGATGGAAATGAATTAGGTATGTTTAATGAAAACAAAGAAGCTTCATGCAACTGGTATATGATGAGTGAGAGGATTATGTCTGTATGGGCCAGATAATATAGATATCTGAATTCCATGAGGAGAAAATTTCATTTTTTTAAAATATACAAGAACCTTTATGGAGGGTTTGATGTAGGAATGACATATTTCTGTGACTAAAGGAAAAAAAATTAATTATCTCCACCCATTCTCCCCTTTATACTTTAAAAAAATCAAAAGAGTATTTGCCCAGGGATACTAAAAGACATAAGCATAGGGCTAGGAAGGTGGCTCAGTGGTAGAGTGCTTGCCTCCCATGCATGAGACCCTGGGTTTGATTCCTCAGTACCACATAAGTGGAAAAAGCCAGAAGTGGCACTGTGGCTTAAGTGGTAGAGTGCTGATCTTGAGTTGAAGATCTGAAGGACAGCACCCAGGCCTAGAGTTCAAGCCCCACGACCGACCAAAAGAAAAGACAAGCATAAATTTGAACTCTTCATATATAACATTGTACCCCACATTGGGATGTCCACAGGACTGATAAGAGATTCTGGTACCAAGGGAAGTCCACCATAGAAAGACCAAATCGAATAAGCTGCTTACCTTGGCTAAAATCTGTTGTATTTACCACATCAAGCTTTATGATAAAACCTTTGCACATGTTCCTATCATGTAAAAAATAGCTATTTTCTTTAAAGCCTTCCATATTTACAAAACTGAATTTCTTCAAGGGCAAAACAGACAAACCAACACTTGTTTATCTATAAAATTGCTGTTATTAAACTTACAAATTCCTTTATGAAATGCACATTTAACTCATCCCTCTGTAACTGCCATTTATTTCAGTGCCACTAGAAACTTGGAGAAAATAGACTGCAATATTGTGCTTCTGTGAAAGTTTTACGTATATGTAGTTTGTATCTATCCTTCATTAAAAATGCTCTCATTTGCATTATCACATTTGGTTTTAAAATAGGCCAGCAAAAAGGCATTATTAGTTCATTTCATAGATGAGACAACTAAGGCTCAAAGAGGATTTATGACTTGCTCAGGAAGCATGGTACAGTAAAAATAAATACAAGATCTTGGGACCCCTATATTACTAAGTTTAAAGTCCATCTTTGCTATGGAAAATTAATTTGACCGTGAATCAAATAAGATGCACAAAGTTGAAATTAACATATTTCCCAAAAGAAGATATATAAATAAAATGAAAAAACTCTCAATATTACTAATGGTCAGTGAAATAACAAACAAGCCATAATAAGATAAACCTCAGCCCAGTAAGTGGCTAATATAAATAAGATAAAAGACAGTAATACTGAAAAAGATGTGGAAAAAAGAAAATCCTTGTACATTGTTGCTGGGAATGTAAACTAATATATGGGGGGGAAATGGGAGGGCAGGGATGGTAAGGGGAAACAAAGGAGGAGGCAACAATGCTTGATAAAAAATGTACTCATTATCTTGCTCATGTAATTGTAACCCTTCTGTACTGTATTTTCACAATAAAAAACTTATTAATAATAATAAAAAAGAGAAAAAAAAGATTAACAATATAATCATGTTAGGATCCATCAGTCCCATTACCGGATACATATTTAAAAAATCAGTATGTTCCAAAACCATCTGCATTTACAAAAGTCAGGAAACAAATTACATATCTATCAATGAATAGATGTGTGAAGAAAATGTGGTACACAAAAACTATTTAGCCATAAAGAAAAATGTAATCCTTTCATTTGCAACAAAAATGGATTGAGCTGTAGGTTATCAAGTTTGTGTGTATGTGTGTGTGTGTGTGTGTGTGTGTGTGTGTGTGTGTGTGTGGTTGTGGTCAGTTGTGGGGCTTGAACTCAGGGCCTGTGGGCTTTCCCTGAGATCCTTTGCTCAAGGCTAGTGCTCTACCACTTTGAGCCACAGTGCCACTTCTGGTTTTCTGGGTGGATAACTGGAGTCTTGCAGATTTTTTTCAGGACTGGCTTTTAAACATGATTCTCAGATCTAAACATCCTGAGTAGCTAGGATTACAGGCATGAGCCACCAGAGCCCTGCAGGATATCAAATTTTGTAAAATAAGCCAGGAAGAGAAAACAACTATACCAAGTTCTCAACAATCGCTGGTGGCTCATGCCTGTAATCCTAGCTACTCAGGAGGCTGAGATCCGAGGATCGCGGTTCAAAGCCAGCCCGGGCAGGAAAGACCCTGAGACTCCTATCTCCAATAAACCACCAGAAAACCGGAAGTGGTGCTGTAGCTCAAATGGTAGAGCTCTTGCCTTGAGCTGAAGAGCTGAGGGACAGCACCCAGGCCCAGAGTTCAGGCCCCACGACCGACAAAAAAAAAAAAAAAACAATATGAGGAACTCTAAAAAAGTTGATGTTGGAGAAGTTCAGGATGGAATGGTGTCTAACAGAGGTTGAGGAGCAATAATGAGAAAGGAGGAATGGGGGACAGTTGATAGATAGGTACTAAGTTATACTTTGACTGGGACAAATTCTGGTGTGCTATAACACAATAGAGTGTCTATGGATAACAATAATGCACTGTACTTTTCAAAAAGTGAGAAAAATTTGAAAATTTTCACCATATTGTTTGAGCAGACACAAACTTAACGTAATTGAAATCAACAAGGTATCAACTGTTGAATTAATAGGTGCAATGTTTATGCTTTGTATACCAGTAAAAATTAAGTTCAAAATCTTCATCAAGTTCTTTATCAATAAACTAAATGAAAAACAGTAACCTGAATTTTAACAATGACTTGAACTATAAGCACATATATGGACATATTGATGTCTGGAGATAGGCAACCTGTCTTTTGTTGGACAGATATAACAGCCAACAAGGATCCAGGCTCTTTTTTTTTAATCCATCTTGGGCACTTGTGTCTTTCTGATTGCTACAACTCAAAGCTCAAACTTCAAACCATAAAGAAAAACAGAAAGCAGAGGCAGGATTAAAATAGCTTGCCTTTTATTTGGAAAGAAATATTTTTTCCTCATATACTTCCCCTTGTTTCTTACGGTCCAGATCTGAGTGATACAGCTCCTATCTCTAGATGGGAGACTAGGAAATGAGTATCTGGCAGACAAAAGTGGAATTTCCATGATTGACTAAAACAAATTAAGAATCCGTTCTTGAGGCTGATCATGCCACCTAGGATGAAATCAATGTTCTGTTAACAAGGAAGCAGAGGCCCAGTGATGTTTGGATAAGCAGCTAACAACATATGAGATAACTTTTTTCAGTTATCTCTATTTATTTTTAAATTTCACTCATGAATAATAAATACCACTGTAAATAAATCATTGCAGAAAATTAACACTATTTCCTGAGGACATTTTTCTGGAAGTATAATTGCTAAGCTAAATACAATTTTGAGATTCTTGAAATATATTAACAGATAACACTTTTGAATTTTGTCACTAATTTCCATTACAATTGCATTTATTTTCAACTGCACATAGCATTCCCATGTCCCAAAAGCCTAACCAAAAATGAATAATGCATTTCCATTGTCTATTAATTTTATGCTCCCCTCTGTAATATTAAATTCCTAATTTATGAGGACTTTATGAGAATTTTGTTTTTACTTTTCTACATTTGATAGGGAAATATACTAACCTTTTCTCTTTGTCCATTTGCATTTCCAATTTTCCTGTGTCTGATTTTTTTTCTGTTCTGAATATTCATTGTTTGTTGTTCATTATCTATTCTTATAAGTCACCTGAATTGGCAGACATATTGAGGAATGGAGAGAATTTGTAAATTCTTTATGTAATGTGCACATAAATATATTTAAAATCAGAAAGATTTTTAAATTTTTATCATTTCATATATTTATCTTTCTCATTAATTTTTGACATAGATTGGTAAAATCCAAAATCAAAATACTGTACATTCCCTTGGATGACCCATATTTTAGTAT